ATTGAACTTGATTGGAATCGATTGTTCGTAAGCTTCATAATTCATATGACCATCCAATGGAGAACTCAGGAAGTTACCATCATCATGAAAGAACCACAACCAATCAAACTCATTCAAACTCTATATCTGAGAATACCCCCACACCATCACTTCAACACAGACAGGGTGGGAAACCCGACAACTTCAGTGTCTCCCACACTGACCCTGCCGAACGGAGAAAGACTAGTTCCCAGACACTCATGGGACTGCCATGGGACTGCCGCCCCATCGACTCTCAAGACCACCCCAATGGGGCGGCAGTCCTATGGCAGTCCCATGGAGTGTTTGGGATTATTGATCTCGATGTTCAATTGGGAGTAATTGCTGGTACCATTTGTGCATTTGCTGGTACACTTGGGAGTATCCCCTGCATGTATTAACCAACCGACAAATAGCTAGTAAAGGGCCATGTATGGAGAAAAAACCTGATAGAACCCACAAACCCGAATGCAGTCCCTTTGTATAGAAGCGTAGCACTCAAAGCGTTCTTGTTTTCGGAGATGACTCGCAGAGTCATCAACTAAAGCAGCGCCAGCACCTCCCCAGCCGTCTAGACACTCTTTCTTGACACACTTTGCTAGACAATCTTTCTTGACACTTTCTCTTAACACTCTTTCTGGGCACTCTTGCTTGACACTCTTGCTTGACACTTTTGCTGGATACTTTTACAGGACATTCTTGCTTTTCATTTTTGCTTGACACTCTTGAAAACAAGCATTTTTCACGAGACTTTCACCAGAAGCGACAATCAAAGCTTCCAAAAACGAGCATTTTCCACGAGACTTTCTCTTGCTAAAAAGTCTTGCTTGAAACTCTTTCTTGACACTCTTTGCTAGACAATCTTTCTTGACACTTGTTCTTGCCACACTTGCTTGACACTCTTGCTTCACACTCTTGCTGGACACTCTTGCTCTTGACACTTTCTCTGGACACTCTTGCTTGACACTCTTGCTGGACACTCTTGCTTGACACTCTGCTAGACACTCTTGCTGGACACTCTTGCTTGACACTCTCTCTTGACACTCTTTGCTAGACAATCTTTTTTGACACTCTTGCCTGACACTCTTTGCGGGACACTCTTGCTGGACACTCTTTGCTAGACATTCTTGCTGGACACTCTTGCTTGACACTCTTTCTTGACACTCTATGCTAGACACTCTATCTTGACCCTCTTTGCTAGACACTCTTGCTTGGCACTCTTGCTTGACACGTTTGCTGGGCACTCTTTGCTAGACACTCTTGCTTGACACGTTTGCTGGGCACTCTTGCTCGACACTCTTTGCCAGACATTCTTGCTAGGGACTCTTGCTTGACACTCTTTCTTGACACTCTTTGCTAGACACTCTTTCTTGACACTCTTCGCTAGACACTCTATTTTGACACTCTTGCTTGACACGTTTGCTGGACACTCTTTTCTGGACACTCTTTGCTAGACATTCTTGCTGGACACTCTTGCGTGACACTCTTTCTCGACACTCTTTGCTTTCTTGACACTCTTTGCTTGACACTCTGCTAGACACTCTTGCTGGACACTCTTGACAGGACACTCTTGCTAGACACTCTTTCTTGACACTCTTTGCTAGACACTCTGCTAGACACTCTTGCTGGACACTCTTGAAATGACATTCTGCTAGACACTCTTGCTAGACACTCTTTCTTGACACCCTTTGCTAGACAATCTTTCTTGGCACTTGTTCTTGACACTCTTGCTTGACACTCTTGCTGGACACTTTTTCTTCACACTCTTGCTGGACACTCTTGACACGACACTCTTGCTTGACACTCTTTCTTGACACCCTTTGCTAGACAATCTTTCTTGACACTTTCTCTTGACACTCTTGCTTGACACTCTTGCTAGACACTCTTGCTGGACACTCTCTCTTGACACTCTTTGCTAGCCAATCTTTCTTGACACTCTTTGCTGGACACTCTTTGCTAGACATTCTTGCTTGACACGTTGGCTGGACACTCTTGCTGGGCACTCTTTGCTAGACACTCTTGCTTGACACTCTGCTAGACACTCTTGCTGGACACTCTTTCTTGACACTCTTTGCTAGACAATCTTTCTTGGCACTTGTTCTTGACACTCTTGCTTGACACTCTTGCTGGACACTCTTGCTTCACACTCTTGCTGGACACTCTTGACACGACACTGTTGCTTGACACTCTTTCTTGACACTCTTTGCTAGACAATCTTTCTTGACACTTTCTCTTGACACTCTTGCTTGACACTCTTGCTTGATACTCTTGCTGGACACTCTTGCTTGACACTCTGCTAGACACTCTTGTTGGACACTCTTGCTTGACACTCTCTCTCTGGGCACTCTTTGCTAGACACTCTTTCTTGACACTCTTTCTTGACACTCTTGCCTGGCACTCTTTGCGGGACACTCTTGCTGGACACTCTTTGCTAGACATTCTTGCTTGATACTCTTTCTTGACACTCTTTCTTGACACACTTTGCTAGACACTCTTTCTTGACACTCTTCGCTAGACACTCTATCTTGACACTCTTGCTTGACACGTTTGCTGGACACTCTTTGCTAGACATTCTTGCTGGACACTCTTGAGTGACACTCTTTCTTGACACTCTTTGCTGGACACTCTTGACACGACGCTCTTGCTTGACACTCTTTCTTGACACTCTTTGCTAGACAATCTTTCTTGACACTTTCTCTTGACACTCTTGTTGACACTCTTTGCGAAACAATCTTTCTTGGCACTTGTTCTTGACACTCTTGCGGGACACTCTTGAAATGACATTCTGCTAGACACTCTTGCTAGACACTCTTTCTTGACACTCTTTGCTAGACAAACTCTCTTGGCACTTTCTCTTGACACTCTTGGTTGACACTCTCGCTAGACAATCTTGCTGGACACTCTTGCTTGACACTCTCTCTTGACACTCTTTGCGGGACACTCTTGCTGGACACTCTTTGCTAGACATTCTTGCTGGACACTCTTGCTTGACACTCTTTCTTGACACTCTTTGCTAGACACTCTATCTTGATCCTCTTTGCTAGACACTCTTGCTTGACACGTTTGCTGGGCCCTCTTTGCTAGACACTCTTGCTTGACACGTTTGCTGGGCACTCTTGCTGGACACTCTTTGCTAGACACTCTTTTTTGACACTCTTTGCTAGACACTCTTTCTTGACACTTGTTCTTGACACTCTTGCTGGACACTCTTGCTTCACACTCTTGCTGGACACTCTTGACACGACGCTCTTGCTTGACACTCTTTCTTGACACTCTTTGCTAGACAATCTTTCTTAACACTTTCTCTTGACACTCTTGCTTGACACTCTTGCTGGACACTCTTGCTTGACACTCTGCTAGACACTGTTGCTGGACACTCTTGCTTGACACTCTCTCTTGACACTCTTCGATAGACAATCTTTCTTGACACTCTTTGATGGACACTCCTTGCTAGACACTCTTGCTTGGCACTCTTGCTGGACACTCTTGCTTGATACTCTTGCTGGACACTCTTGCTTGACACTCTGCTAGACACTCCTTGCTAGACACTCTTGCTTGGCACTCTTGCTGGGCACTCTTTGCTAGACACCTTTGCTTGACACTCTGCTAGACACTCTTGCTGGACACTCTTTGCTAGACACTCTTGCTAGACACTCTTTCTTGACACTCTTCGCTAGACATTTTGCTAGAAAGTGTAACGCAGACAAAGTCCTGCCAGGTATGTCACTTTCCGACGTGGCAGTCTCCAAAACGAGCGTTTCGTACGAGACTTCCTCCAAGAGTCATGCGTCAAGTCTCCAAAACGAGCGTTTCGTACGAGACTTCCTCCAAAAGTCACACGTCAAGTCTCCAAAACGAGCGTTTCGTACGAGACTTCCTCCAAAAGTCACGCGTCAAGTCTCCAAAACGACCGTTTCGTACGAGACTTCCTCAAAAACTCACACGTCAAGTCTCCAAAACGAGCGTTTCGTACGAGACTTCCTCCCAAAGTCATGCGGAAACACCCATCGGAGCACCGCGCAGCCCTGCCAAGCAGTTTCGCGATTCCAGCCCCTCCAAACAGCACCCGCTCGCTCACACACCAATCCCAATGTCACAGCGACATTCACCTCTACCACAACTCACAGCCTCACGATTCCCTGCGCCCGCCACGAATCTTTCCGCGTCCACACGTCTAACGCGCACAAAGTCCTGCGCCTGCCACGAAATGTCACCTCCGTCACGTGTTTGGAATGATTTCGGCCCGTTCTGAGCACACACCCTGAAACGCAAACCCCAATGGCACGGCCACATCCAAAACCCCAAAAACACGACTCTCCAAACGCTAATCCCAATGGAATACCGACAATAACGTGTCACTTTCACGAAACCCTGCGCCTGTGCAGCGAAATGCATCACGTTTCTTGCGCGACATGTCACTTTCATGCAAGTCACAATGCAATAGCGGCGCCAACTGACACGTGACGCATCCATGAAAAGTAACTTGCAAAAGCTTCCCCCAATGGCAGGGCCATAGAGACATCATACGGATGCAAACGGTTGCAGACGGTTACAAACGGCTGCGAACTCGAAAACAACGTCGGGCAAACACAGCTCTACCCTCAGACTCACCCAAGTTAAACGAGAACCCTTCGCTACGCATTCGGTAAAATCGTTTGCCTTGCAACCTCCTACTAGGAAATCTTGCGCGTGACCTGCGTATCCTATATCGAACTGCCTGCAGCTCCACAAAGAGCGGGATGTCTAGGGGATGCACTTATAGAAAAACCGTGGACAAGGCATGGAACAGCCCAACGACTCAGTATACTCCTTTCTACTCTGCTCTTATCAACCTTTTGGAGCCAACTAGTTAAGTCGTTTGATGCGGTTTCGGACTGCCGCGAACTCTCATGTGCCCCTCCATCTTTCCCCCAATTTCCCAACTCCTCGATCCGACGCGTCTCGCGTTTCGCGATCCGACACGATCCCAACTGCCGCCCAAGGCCTCTGACGAACATTTTGAACACCACGAAGGCGGGACGACTCGTCGTGAGTGCGTCGGACTGGTTTGGCGGAAGTGGCACGTTGTTCTGCACTGCTTTTAATTTTGGTTTGAATACATGTCTTGTCCCATGAACAGAACAGCAAGGTTTTCCATGAGCAAAGATAGCAATAACATGCCAAAACCAAAGCATGCAAAATGCATATAGTACTGATTTAGGAGGAATTGTGTGAGTGCCAAACCAGGGTTTGAAACTAGCAAACCACGAGTCTACAATAGTCAGATGTGCAGAATAAAAGCTTTCACCGTTTTCACCTCACACAATCCGAAAAACCCTCAGCAGAGCAACCAAGCACCTGCACTGTGCTGCACAATGAATTCATGCGAACCCGTGTCCGTTTCTCGCCGTCTCTCGCGAACTCTCCCCCATTGGTTCGGTCGTCCAGGCGCAGAGCGTCGAGTTCGAAGCCATTCGCTGCGTGGTGCGGTCGATGCCCGAAGGCGAGCGCGAGCGTCGTCGCGTCGTCGAGCGGAGAGTCGGTGGGAAAGTGACGTGGTGTTGGAATGGGTGAGTCATGGCCCATGGCCCAAATACTGGAGAACATGGAAGAATAGCTGCCATGAAGATGTCGTTAGTAGACTCAGAGAAGTTTCGTATTGATGGGCCGGTATTGACTGTTAAGTGCTGATGCACTGACTGAAGTGGATCATAGAGGTCCCCAATGGAAAGCCCATCTTTTTTAAGATACTGGGGATTGAATTCAGTTAGTGGAGGGCCACTAGAAGAGGCTATGCAGCCTTCTGGGAAATGAGACGGCCCACCCATCTGCCCGGAGGGCCATCAACATCTCACGTATTCTGGCAGAATACACTGCACGCTCCAGAATTTGAATCACGCTGATGAAGGATTGATGTTTGTTCGGTATTTTTGCCTGCTACCAGTCCTGAGTTGTCAGAATCTTAGGACCCTCTGGACCCGAAGCTCCGCATGTCATGGACCCGATGCAAGCTGGTCACGAAAGGTAGCCCTTTAGGGGATACCTTGAGTTTGTCTTGCGAAGCAAGTGTTGGGACGTCCGGGTCTAATAATTGATCATTCAATTCAAACCCCCCCCCCCCCCCCCAATCGAATTGTTTTTTCAATACAGACCCCCTCCCCTCTAAATTCAATTCTCCAATTCTCTCCTGGAGAACGTCTTCGTGAGCCTCTCATGATTTCAGGATAGTTGAAACCCGCTTGAACATTCAGAAAGAGTGCATATCAAATTCTAATCGCGAAAGGTGTTCCCCGAGGGGATACATACCTAGAGTTTGTTTTGTGAAGCACGTCAATTCTCTCCTGAGGAACGTCTTCATGAACCTCTTATGGTTTCAGGATAGTTCAAATCCTATGATGCTCCGATTCAATGCGCACCGATGATCTGAGCCATGAGGCAATTTTTTTTCCTTAGAATCTTTTTGAACATTTCGAGAGCATATGTTTGAACATTTAGAGTGCATATGAACATATATTTACGACAGGTCGCCTCCGAGGGGATAAATCACCATGTCGAACATTGCATTTTTGTTCCTGCCTCTCGCGTTCTCTTGTCTTCCCGCTGTCCTACCTTTCGTGTCTCCCTCCTCTCAAGTGAAGCCTTTGGTCCAAGTGACCCCCAAACATGGACGCTGAAAACCACTGTGACTCAGGGTGCTGTTCAAACTTCTTTCCGGGGAAACTCGGGAGTGTAGCCTGAAGAACTTTGCAAGGCAATTGGGAGGGTCAAAAACACACTGGGTCGAAATATAAATCAAAGTCAGAACCTCTGTGATCCAAAACCCCCGCAGGGTCCAGGACGGGCCGATTCCGGAGAATACGGGGGGAAGGTTCTGGGGTCCAACCGTTTCCCGTGCATGGGAGGTTCTGAAGTACTGCAGATCTGGACTGTCCGACGGAGGCGTACTCTTAACTTAGACCCTCACAAGTCCTTTTTGGTGTGGAAGGGATTTCTGAAAAACTTATGAACTTTAGACATAAAGTCTTGTCCAGTTCTAACTGGCTTCTTTCCAAATAGGAAGTGGGTCTTATGATACATTCATGATTGCGCCGCCCATCCATCGGCCTTTTTCCATCCCCCTTAAGAGAACGGCTCAACTGAGACAACGTCTCACAGGTATTTCATGTGCATATGTTGTCAGAACCCCAGGTATTTCAACGACCACCCCAGGTATAAATGCAACAAAATCTTGTTGAGAAGTACACTCGCAAGTGCTTGGTGTTTGTCACATCCGGAGTCTTTGTAAATGGAGTTGTGTCACAAAAAGTACATCCGGAGTCTTTGTAAATGGAGTTTGTACATCTGGAGTGTTGAAACTCAGGTGTTTCATGTTCAAACACTGTCAGAATATCTCAGGATCCTGGTGGTCATTGACCCTCACTCTCCAAGAACAATGGAGCCAAGAACATCCTGTTCCATCCTGTTCCCATGAAACATACACTGTTTTGATCTGTCTTGATCTGGTATGTGAAACGTGATGTTGGACCGAGTCCTCCACCAGGCTAGCATCAGGTTCATTATCTGACCTTGAACTTGAACCCGATGAGCTCATAGCTTCACGAGGGTGTAAAGCACTCTTGCGATATTGACATTGTTTTGCAATGCGTGGTGCAATTGTATTGTAGCCTTGTAGCTATTAAACCATTTCTCACTCAGCCACCTCTGAGCCCCCTTTGAGCCACACTCAGCCAGCTCTGGGCCCTGAGCGAGTCACTGAACTCTGAGCGCCGCTTGCCTTTTGGAAAAGACTCACTTTGATCGGAGAAGAAGACTATAATTTAAACATGTCAGTAAAACCCTTAGCAAAGGACAACGTGTTTTAGTCGCGATGGCTTCAGCCAGCTCCTTGTGTGCGACCTGCGCTTCGTGCGCGATCGCGCGATGAGCCAGGCAGCGCGATCGTGGCCTTGGCCATCGAAAAGCTGCAGGCCGGTGAAGTGTTTGTTGGAGCCTGTGACGTGCGGGAAGTTCATTTCTAGGCGACGAAAATCATACTTGAGCAAAGGAGCAACAGCAAGTACCAAAGAATTCATCCTTCATCCCTGAGTTATTTTCAGGGTGATTGTTCCACAGCAAACGGCAACTCCTAGGGGCTTTGTTTGCTCAAGTCCTTTGCTTCATCCTCTATCAAGAGTTGAGTTTGCTATAGTGTGCCTACTTTGGTGGTTCTTTGTATTTTAGAGATAACTAGGGTGAGTAATTAGAGGGATATCCGGATCAGGCAAGGTCTCGTGCTTGTGATGCCTCCGTGTAGCGATCTTTGCAGCCAGTACGCACTTGGCGCACGGCAGGTTTGGGATCGTCGGACGGAACGACGTGTGGAAGACCAAGTATAGTATAGAAATGTATAGAAGGTATACATGTATAGATCTGGGTGAAGACCTGGGTGAAGAGGTCAAGAGAAGAGATGAGAATACATTCAAGTTCAACCAGGTATCCCCAACAACTACCCCACCTTGTAAAAGGTCTTTGTTCTTAAATGCTGCTTGGACAAGTCTAGTGAAACACGATTCACTGTGGTGGTGTACCCAGCGCGTAAGATCAGGTAAGGGGTGAGTATTTCGACCAAAGGCAAAGATCTATACGGTGTGAACAGGAGACCTTCCAAGAATGGAAGTGTGGAGACAAGGGTGGAAAACAGGAGACCTTCCAACAGGAGGCCTTCCATTTGTTTGGTGGAAAAGGGTCATTTCTTTGGGGCCATACCGACCATGCCGACTCCGCAGCCAGGAGGGTCCACATGTAAATAGGCATCACTTTGGGGCACGCTGGCATACTCACTTTCCACTTGTGACGCAAATGGTGACTTGCAACCTGCCCATCAGTTTTTGTTGTGTTCTTCGAGATGCGCAGACCCTCGCCGTGCGTGACTTCCACGTTCCTCCCCGACCTCGCCTCCTCCTTCGAACCGAAACACGCCCTGCCCCCAGACCCCCGCGAACACTCGCTCGTGGTTTTCACCAGCTCGTTCAGAACCGATTCCGACCTCAGCGCTCAGCTCCGCGGCCGAACTCGTCGCCAGACCTTCTTGAACTCCTCCGACCGCAATTTGAGGCGCGACACCGTCGGCCGGACCGGTGCGACTGACGTCGGGTCCACGGTCGACAGCGGGACGCGCGTAGAGAGACCTCGTTGAGTTGCCATGGGATCTGTCGCACTGTTCCGTGCTCCGTGGGGGGGACATGGTGAAAGAGTATGAAGAAGTGAACATGTTCACCGGCCATGGCTGGTTTGGGATTGACACCATCCACCAGAAAGGAACTGTAGAATCTCAGAATCTCAGAAGGAACCTTGAGCATCGCCGAACAGTTCACCTTGTTCCAAGCTTGAAAGCCAGAATGGTCCCAAATAGAAACCTGTATCTTCATGCTTGCCACCCTTTTGACAGTCCCATCCGGTCTTCTTTTCAACAGCACCGTTGTCCTCCAATACTTCACCCATGGACACGAGCAGGTTTCTAGCTTTGGACCTGTACAAAGAAGTCGTGGAGAAGTTCAAGGTGGGCAAACGAAACCCTGTGGCTTTGGGAGCCGGAATTGGTTTGCTTTTGCCACAGGGTTCTTGCGTCTTGATTTGTTGTCAGTGTGCTTTTTGCCTTCCCCGCGAGAATCATGGAAGTGGGAGATGGTCGCCAAATTTAAATGTGTAATTATTGTAAACTCATAGTCAGGACTTAAATATACCCTCCTCTTTTGAGTAGGTTTTTTCAATCCATAAGGGCGCAGTGTTTTTCTTTAATCAAGAGTGCACCTGATGTGTTTGATGCTGACCTGATGGATTTTGCCGTCTCAGTCCTTTCAGCAGATGGCTCAAACATATCCAAATGGTGATGTTGATCGTGTAAATTCCGTGGAGATGTGGGGACTGGTTGGAATCCCAAAGTTAGTCTCATAGTTTCACTTCAGTTGAATCTTGAGAAACCTGACAAACTTCCCCTGAACTTCATGAAAGTAACATGCCTTGTGATCATTCATTCGACCCGACAGTTGGGGTTGAGTGAAAGCTAGCGCCAGCTCAGCTAACCGGGCATGTGGTCATGGAAACTACAGTCTCTTGGCCCAGTAGGCCCTACTAGGCCATTTGGCAGGCGGAGTGACACAGTCTATTGAGGTTTCCAAACAATCCCCAAGGATTTGGTTGAGGTCCTCAAGGTTGTTTGGATTTTTTGAGTGGAACAGGGTGGAACCCAACATTGTAACGTTGGGATACGAGACTTGCTAGACTTGCTGACAAGTCCAATCTTCAGAGCAATCAAGTTTGTGCTGGTGACAACTACAGTAGTAGCGTTTCCTACTCAGACGCTGCGTTCACAGCCCTTGGTCCCTCAAAACTAACAGTAAAGGATTTGAGACCCGAGACCCCTCCACATGAGGATCCAGGGTCGCGTCTACCCACCATAACCCGGGGTCCAGGTTCGCGTTCGGGTACTACGGATTACAGCTCCTGGATCCTCATGAGTTAGTTGGATCGGATCTCACTTCATGGCCATCAGCTGGTCATTTGTGCATGAAGTGGTGTGTTTCCCATCGGATCCAGGTACCTCCTTCGATTGGATGGTGAAAGTACATGCAGAGAATGGTTGTTGCCTGGGGGGGCCAGTGAACGGACATCCGATTCGGAGGGTCCGAAAGACCCTTAGGGGTTGAGGGTCCTTGCCATGGAACTCCCAACACCAAAGACACTGGTCTTCCAAGTTCCGCTGCTCTAGACATCTCTAGACATCTTCTAAGAAGAGCGTGAGGCTTTCGGGATAAACAACTGGCAGGGAATTAAAGAGATGCCTGGGTGAAACCATGCTCAATATGCTCAATGAACTACCGCAAGGCAACGTTTCTCTGCTAAGTTTCTACATGTTTGTTCAATTTGATAGGTCGGAACTCTGCGTTATCACCAAATCAGTCACTTCTGCTTCCAGCGACCGCAGCAGGAGAAGACCTCTTTGAAAGATCTCCACGACAAGGTCTTAACCTCCATCGAGGACTCTGCGCGGAGATCGCGCTCCACCCGCACCGCCCAAAGCCGGCAGCCATTGGTGGTGGGATTCTGCTACCATTTCTGAGGGTGGGCTGTCATGTCACCCAGAGATTTTGGTGTACCACTGGAATTTCCTGGCAGTTTTGGTGGGACCAGACCTGGTAACCGGTCTCCAATTTCAGCCCTGTTGCATGTATCAAAGTTCCTGAGGCTTTGCAGCAACCCCCTGGAGGGTCACCTAGATGCGTTTTTTCAGCTGCATCTCTTTTCAGAAAGGGAGCTCTTGCCTTGCTGAAATAGATGGGGATAGAATAGATGTTAACCTACCAGGCTTTGTGCCTGCCTTCGCCAACCTCCCACCGCATCGCTTTTCGGCTGGTACGGATTCGATCGGGTTCGAGCCGCATTCGGGGACCGTGCCGCTCGGTCGAAGTGGAATGAATGGTGAATTGCAAACATCATGTGGTTTGCCTGCATTGACTGAGGATGGCAGAAACCTGTCAGTTGATTTCAACCACCCGAAGTTCACTGCATTGTTCCAAAAGAGATGATGCGCTCATTTGACCAAAGCTACTTGAGATGCTTGGTTTCGTTGTAGTCTAAGCCAGTACGACCTCAAGCTGTCAATCCTCAAAGATCTTCAAAGCTTTTCCTGCAGTTCTTGGGAGTACCCTGCCTGTGGTTCCTCTTTTAAATATACACGTTTTTGCTGCAAGATGAGTTCGGGGTAACTCACAAAGATGCGTAATTGGCGTGCCGAGCGAAGCTCTTCTCATGGCTCCACCTCTCAAGCACCACTTCCTATCATGAAAAAAACAACAAACCCGCCTGAGAAACGAGCATCACAAAGGTGGTGACCCTTCTTTTTTGCAGTGTCTTTTGGATAGCCATTTGAGGTGTGAACCATGCCCAATTCTTGTTTCCCCCTTCATTCCGGAGCCCAAGTAACGGGTCGTGGTTGAGCACGCCGTTTGCGTGCAACCCAGTTAGCCGGATAGGCTAGGTATTATTCATATAACATGGAAAAACTGACCACATATACTTTGTTATTGTTGAACTTTCTTTTCCGCAGTGACTCTGTGCGGTTTGAGGATCTATGTATAAGAATACTGATAATGATAGATAGTAGCAATAGGCAATAAGAAATAAAGCAAACACATGTTAATAATAGTCAGTATTAACATGTAATAGCTGTTATTATACTGTACTACTCTGTACACTTATGATTGTGCTAAATATTGGCGGTGTATCTCTCTCACCGCGCAATTCCTGTTTAGTGCTTTTGGGGGCTTCCAAAAAATTGAAGGTCGAGCGCAGTTTGCGAAGCATTACCTGACAAATGAATACGAGATTGAAAGGGCTCTCATGTTGAGTGTCGGTCACAACATCGAACCCACAACCATCATCCAACATCAACCGTTGAACCGAACCTGACCTTTTTTAAGGGACATCCCTTTGGTTCCATCCTTCTTCCCGGCTTTTCCACCTTTTTTTTCCGCCTCTCTTGTCTTGAACTCGTTCTCGTAGGAGCCAGACCTCACGGTGCGTCGTGTCGCGCCGCTGGGCGTTGGAGAATGGGGGAGCTTCGCAGAGGTTTGGGGGTCTCCCAGAAGGGGGGGCCAGTTCAAAGGCACCAACGAAACGGTGGAATGAGGCGAACGCGCCAGATCAGTGGCACCACTGATCTGGTATATCTACCCCCCCCCCCGGAACTTCTTGATAGAGTGGGGCACAGAAAAGAAACAGAGCAAAAAACACAACTGAACAGTGTGGTTTGAGGAGTGTTCTGGATGTCACAAACGCTTTTTTGTGCTGAACCGTCGTCGGCGGTGGGTCGTCAAGCTGCAGACACTCGGATTTCGGGCCTTCTGGGGAAGTACTCTGAATACAAAGAACTTCATTGCAGTTGATTCATGGAAGGCTGGCATCCCTTCATGGAAGCCTTCCCCAGAGTACTTCTTGGACTTTGAAGTACAAAGGGAAGACGCTCGAAATAAGAACCTCCCGAACTCCGCCTTCTGGGAGGTTCTTCTTAAAAGCCAACGAGTCATTTGCCTTTGTGGCAGTAGTTTGCCCAGCTATGACTGTGAGCCATGATAAGAGGTTACAGACCTTAGTACAGACCTTCTAAACTTCTCAGCTCAAGTTCTTGGGCAACACCAGGTTGCAAGAGGTGCTCTTGATTTTGGAATCAGCTGGATTCCATGTTCATTCTACCATTCTACCCCATCCAACATCATCCAACCCCCCAACACCGGCGACACGTTCGTTCCACAACCAGTGACCCTGTCTGCGGCGCTCCGAACGGCCCCCCGAACTCCTCAGGTTCGGCTCGTTGGACCCGTTGGCACCCAAGCCCGGAGGTATATATCTTCCAAACGGAGGCAATTGGAGTCATCCCTATAGGGATCCAAGTACCATTTGGACCCTCCAAACCTACATAACAGTGTCTCCAATCAGCTTCTGAGAAGGTACGACTGGATCCCCAGGGCATAGGGTATGGTCACGGAACGTTCCCGAGCTTCCCAAGGCTTCAGCTCCTGGATCGCATCGTCGATCCTTCCAACTTCCAGGAGGCACTCAGACATCGGCGTGGTCCAGATGCGGTACGGTGCTAGGTGGTCACACTGTGCTTGACAGCTGACATGTTTTGCTGGGTACATTCCATGAAGATCCAAGAAGAGGCCTGGCCGATAAGCACATTGAATTCCAAACAACTCATTCCGACACATGTATACTTTTTTTTTTCTGGAGCAAAAGAACTCATTCGTCTTGAGTTTAGTCAGGGGCATCACGCAGGAAATGTCTGGCAGAGCAATCCTGCCTTGCTCAGAAGAGTAGTTCACCAAGTGTTTTTCTCCAAAAAAACTCAATCTCCCAGATCGCCCAGTTGAACTCCCACACCCAGTTTTGTGGAGTTCCCCTGACCCCGTTCCTCAAATCACTGCCTGAGTCAACAGAAGATGCGTTCTGAGTGTGAGTTGAGTTCAGGTTTGTGCTGTTCAGTTTATACTTATGGGACTGTCAATATAGAATTCTCCAACCAACCTTCTTTGTTCATGACCAGATTGCATCCCATTTGGGGCATTTGAGTCCTCATGCACAAACCCGTTTAGTATCCAGGAAGAACCCCTTTGGACCCTACCATGTTGTGAAGCGGCTAGTATATAATGGGGAACACAACGAACCGACCACCAAGGAATTTCCAAACACATGCAGTCCTGATGTAGTCCAGGGCTGGAGTGACGGCTTGAGAGTCTGGGCATTGGGGTTATCCAGCTCTTCTGCTTTCACCAGGGAACCATGACTTGAGCACCTTAGGGGAGTTCTCCCTCACCACTTGCTAGTAGTGCAAATCGTTGGTTTTGGTTGGCTCAACTGCTTGCTCTTGAGGCAGTCCAGAGGCTTTTGGAATTCAGTCGCAGCTTGGCTGGTGGGACGAACCAGAGGGAGAGCCATGAGTCTTCCACTCAGCTGGGAAGATGGCAGCAATTCATGTGGGAAGTTGCTTGTGGCTTTCCGTTCTAGGGCCCACGACCCAACTATCAAAAGGATATCAAACCCAGACACTCCATGGGACTACCATATATGCCTACATTGGGGTGGTTTGGGGGTCAATGTAGGCATATACGGCATACATGGAGTGTGTGGGAAAAGGAATGATTTGTTGAAACTAGTTGAAAGGATTCAACGAAGGCACCCGAATTCCCAATCATGCTGGTCAACCCTTGCTGCTCGCGCGTCGTCCGGCGTGGAAGCGGCCGCGAAGTGTGCGAAGCGGGCGCTCCTGGGTGAATAGCTCATGGTTCCAATGTAGCATGTCTTCACGAAAGGGTTGTCTACGGAGTCATCGCCATAGATGGGAGTGCTTTTACAGTAGATGGCACAGGACCCAAGTTGTCTCTTAGATTGGGGGCCGATAGAGATAAACCACCAAACTTGAGGATTGCGCCATCTACTCTCCACTAAAAATGTGGAAATGAAATGGGTGAACATGTGGCACCCCTGCTTGACTCCAAAATGAACCACATGGACTGCAGGTGTTTACTCAAGGAACATGTTTTTTTTCCAGGAGTTTATGCACTTTGGCTGTTTTTCCGGATCCATGTTCGTTTGCATGGAGAGCAGTTTGCATGTCAAGCTGCCATGGATTTTCGAAGATCTATATGCTTTTTGACCCAGAGCTGTCATAACATGTCAGAACCCTCCAAGACTTCATCCATCCGGAAGTGATGGATGGATGTGTTCCTCTTTTTCCGCCTGCTTTCATGGCCAAAAGAAGCCAGTCCAGTACCCTAGGGCTCCAAGTACCTCCTCAGAAGGTATCTGGACCCTCTGAACCCACCCCTGTCACACCTTCTGAGAAGGTACGACTGGAGCGCATAGGGGTAGACAGTCACGTCCGTTCGTCGGCAGTGAAGAGTCCTAGACTGCGCCGTGCACGTCAGTCCACCGAGGCAAGGCCACGCTGAACGATGAGTTTATTGGCACGATTTTGCGCATGGCTGCGCGTGATCGCTACGCACTGGTGGAGGACGAGGGTCAGGTCGGGTGGATTGGTGGAGCGCAGCGGGTCGATCATGGAACAAAGGGAGTGGCCATACACATGGTGTTACACCATGTGCTTACCACTCTTGGTTCCATGATACAACTTGTACACCTTGTAACAGTGGTAATACATCGTGTGTTTTTGAAATTGGCAAGACGATGCCTATGCACATCTATGCACCATTTCTTTTGTTGTGGAATTCTTGCCGACTGTAGGTCCTCTATAATGCTAATTTTTTCTAAACTTATTCAGACCCCCATGTTTGAAAAATGGTTCCTGAATACTGCCAATTTTTTTTTTGGACCCTAAATTTTTAAATTGGACACCCAATTAATAAGGGTTTGAATTCCTTCTGAGGCACATGATTATGATTCATTAGTTGATATAGCTTTCTCTAGGTTTCTTCAAAACTGACAGCTGACCAAAACCACAAATTCCTAATTAAACCCTTTATAAAACATTGCTCCTAAACAAATTTTCAAGGTAATAGACCAGGAAGGCACCTGATCCTCAATAATAGATTTGTTTTTGGGTTCTCAATTGTGAAAAGTTTTTTTCCACTGGAAAAAAATGCTCATGGAATCTTCCTTTCCTTAGCTCCTGAGGCCAATGATTATGATTCATTAGCTGATATAGCTTTCTCTAGGTTTCTTCAAAACTGACAGCTGACTAAAACCACCAATTCCTAATTGAACCCTTTATAAAACATTGCTCCTAAACAAATTTCAAGGTAGTAGACCAGGAAGGCACCTGATCCTCAACAATAGATTTGTTATCACCCCCCCTTAATTATGTAATTCAAGCCACGGGGAGACATAATGTAATTACATTTTGGGTTTCTTTTTTTTTGGGGGGGGGTGGCTGGATTGTATATCTTTGTATGATTTTAAAACCCATTTGTGTTTAGAGTTTAGGCGGAAAAGGTTGCTTCAGGGGCCCATGTTCCAGGTCCATGTTTGTTGAACGGAGGGTGAGCAATATGCTTAGCGACTTGTCTTTGCGACTTGTCGCATGTGTCATAAGATGTCATAAATCATACGTCATAAGTGTTTTACGTGTTTTTGAACTTTGTTGCCCGAGGCAAGTTGTAGGGGGCACAACTTGAAGGTCCGGAAAAGCCATGGGACTGGAGTATTGACATACCAAACCGCGCGGTTCGATTTGAAGCTATTTGGCTTTGTAGGCCGGAACATGTGGTGTGGCAAGATCAGGAATGAGAGGTCCAGCATGACTCACAAGTGCAGGAGGATCCGGTGGACATCAGCATTTTTTACAATTTGAGCCAACTTTGCTCTACATAGGCGGACAAGGTGCAAAACAGAATGAAATAATGTGTTCCAAACAGCTTCACTTTTTTTTTGCTCCACGACGGGGACATGTCGTGGAGCGTCGAGAGTCGCGTCCGCTCCCATGATGGCGTGATTGACATGTACTGGTGGGCCAGAAGTGTTTCAGATCTGAGAAGTCAGCTGGGAGCCACTTGGAGATGATTGGAGATGATTGGCCAAAAGATTGATGATCTCAAGCTTGGAGTCGTTTTATCCGTGTTTCGTGGAGCCTTGTGCAAGGCCGCCAAGGACGGCACCAGGAATCTCCGAGTGTCAAAAGCGATGTCGACACCTGTACCTGCAGCTCACGTGAAGAGATTACGGATCGTGTGTTGGCTGAAGTGCCAACAGTCCAGATCTCTGAAGATGTCAAAGCCATGCGTGTCTCAATCACAAAGGAGGCGCAGGACGGCATCCAGGAACTGCTCCGTGGCAAATTGAAGTTGGCGTTGCCAGGGGGCCCCAAGCCAGTTGACCAAGGCGCCTGCTAGCTTTCAGGGTATATTGATTTTATTGATTTCCCTTTTGATTTCTTTTTTGATTTTGCATATTGATTTTGATGGTGGGAAATGCTTCCAAAAATATTGATATGGAAATCAAAAAATCAATTCAAAAATATTGATTTTTTTGTAAACCAATCAGCATTAAAAAGTTTATTGATTAGGAGCAAGATTCGATGCTCAGGGTTCACGTAGCATCAACTTCAAAAATCGCAGTAGTCACACGTTCGGTTTTACACCCGTAGGCATAAACATGCTCAAGCGTCGCAGAATTTTCGAATTGTAGACTGTGAAATCATGCAACTATTCAGTGTTGCCGCCAAAACGCCAAAACACCTTCCAAGAATTCATGCATCTGCAGACAGGTCAACAGTTCCAACTGTTGAACATGTTTTCTTGGGGCGCTTTGCAGAGGCCCCTGAGAAACCACATCCCCTTGAATTTCTTTGCTCCAACAGCGGATCTTCTTTGTGCTTTTGCTCCTGAATCAGCTGCCAACTTGCTTGTCCCCCCACAACTTGCTCCCTGCTGCTCCCTTCTTCTCTCCCTGCTTGTCTCCTGTCTTGTTTTCCTTCTTGTCTCCCTGCTTGTCTCCCCGGAAC